CTTGATATCAACGCATCGCCACGCATTATGCCTTTTAGAACACTGCTTCTAATATATCATCTCCCTCCCTCTCCCTCCTTCCCTCCTCACAAAGAAACCAATTTTTCTGCAATCTTATTTCCAATTGACATAAAATACCTTCTGGAAATTCAAGATGAGTTAGACACCAATTGATCTTCACGCACTACCCAAGTAAACAAATTGTCAATTAAAGCTTTGTTTAACATTACCCTATACTTTTTAAGATATAAATTCAGTAAAGTAGAAGCACAAAGTTTTCAAAAGACAATTTAGTAAGCAAGTTGTCTTTTACGGCAGAGGATTGAAAACGGGAAGCTCCAAATTGATTAAGTTTCTGTTTTATGCATCAGAGCGCACACAAATGCATCTTAACCTTAACAATTTTCTGTTACTTCCAATGCAGAACAGATGCCAAAAATACAGTTTTGAGGCCTTTCTTGGAGAGGGTGAAGAATGGATGCCCACCGGACACACTGAATTTAAGTTCCACTATGAACTAACCTGCTTCGGTTCACGAGGCTTCGTATATACTGACGAAAGTACAAATCCAAGCAACCACAATGGCGCAACAAAACTTTGAAATTTAGTGAAGTCCTGATTGTTCCCTTGATCACCCGTACTTGACTCCTCTGCACTATCAGGAAATTTTTAAAACCAGATATATGAAAAATCACACCCTTTTACCTGGTGTAACAACTCAAATGATGTTTCCATACAAAGGCTTGTTGGTAAGCTCTAATTACGTTTCATTTCATTTTATTTCTTTGCCTGCCTGAGATGGATTGAATAGAAAACTACATATAACTAGCACATGTCACTTCCACTACATTTAATATAAAATTCTAGAAAAAGAGAAGAAGTGACCACTGCACAAAATAGCAAAGTCGCATACCTTTATGCTCCCCTTTCTGGTTGTCCCCTTTCTTGTTTTTTGGATAACAATTCTCATAGTCTACAAACAACGCAAGAGCATAGATAAACCTCAGGAAAATTAAAAACCATAACAACCCGAAATGACAAAAGTCTCATGGCAAAAGACTTTATTTTTCTTACTTCTTCTCTTTGACGTTTCGCTACAATACAGCCTAAAAAGCATAGGGTTTGCAAAAACCGAATTAAATTCCGACGAAGCACCACCATTCACAACCAGTTTCCCAGCTCCAATCGACGTCAAATAGCTCCTCATGAACCCCGAGCCACCGCTCGATCGTGCAATGCACGCATTTTCAGGGGCCAATCCATTCAAGACAGCTAATTCCACTCCATAACCACCCAAAAATGTGGTCTACCAAAAAAAAAAAGAAAAAAAGAAGGCAAATGAAAAAAAAGGATGTGAACATCAAAACTAAAAAAGGCAGAAAATGAATTTAGGAGCTTACTTTATCGAGTGAGGAGCGAGAGGATCGATTAACAGAGCGTCCAATTCGTAAAAATATCATTTTTTTCGGTAATCAAAACATGAATTCCCGACTCGATTTATAAAACGAGGCCTTAAAAACTCTTACGACGTCGTTTCTTCAATATACATTATCCCCCTGCATATACAACCATTTACTCTATAATGATATATGTTCAAGGGTTCGCAGATTGGGAAAAAAAAGGAATTGCAGGGAAAAGAAAGA